CCCTTCCACTTCCTAGGATATGCTGAGTTAGAGTTTGGCCTCTGTCTAGCCTCAGCAGGGCCTGGTAGGTGAAGGGAATGAGGCTGGAGACAGAGTTCTGGATTGAAGGCACAGGTTTGTGGGAATGCCTGCTTTTAAAGGAAAAGTCCCTCTCCTTTGCCACACCAGGCAGAAACCAGAGTGGCAGGTTCACAGGCTGATCTGGGCAGGGCACAAAGTCTGCCTAGTGGCCTTCCTGCCCACAGAGTGTAGGCTGAGTTGTACAAAGGCAGTTTGTCTGAGTGTCCTCCAACATAGCATAGGACCCAGAACCAGTTGTGGGGCAAGCAGTTAGCCTATGTTCTGCCCTATCCTCAAAGTCACTAGCTCTTGGGTCATAGTCCGAGGTGACCATGCTCATCGCAGAATGGAGTGGGGCTGAAGTGAATGGAGCCTGGGACGTCCCTGGGGATTGGCAGTTCTGAACCAGGGCTTCCGGCCAGAGGGACTGCCTCTGAGATGCAGTCCAGGACTGCATGGGAGTGGTTGTTTTCTCGTGCCCCCTAGCGGGTCTGCTAGGTTTTAGCTCCAGTGGAAGGTCGTCAGGATGTGGGTCTTAGAATGGGTTTTCCAGGCGTGGCTCTAGGGTTCCCAGAAGGCGGTGAGTCAGCTGTAAACAGTGACATCCAACAGAATGCACACACCCAAAGGACTCTTCCCCTCGGAGATTTTTTTCTTTTCCATTTGGGACTAGCCACTGACCCCTTCTTCTTGAGCCCAAGTTTTGTTTCTGGTCACCACATAGGGGAAGGGGCTCCCTGTGTCTCCTCTTGGTTCACTAGGTGCCTTGCAGTGCAAGGTATGGGCGTGGTCGCCCACAGTTCTGTACTCTGTCCATCGCTTCAGCTGATCTGGTCTCTTGGAGCCGGGTGACACTTGCACATCCTGCTAGAAGTGGCACTCCCACAATCGCCAGGCGACTGGGTTACCATGGGCGTGGGAGGAACTCTGGAAAACTCTGATCACCGGAGAGTTCCCAGACCCTTTTGACCTAGAGGGTACCTGCACCCCTGTTCCCTCGAGTTCCCGCGAGCCGGTTTGCTCCCCATGGGTTGGGGCGCGGCTTCCTGGCCCACACTGGGCGGGGCAGGGCGCTTGTAGCAGGGGCAGGTTCTCCGGGTCTGGGCAATGCGTCCGGTGGGCGGGGGCGGACGTGGAAAGCCTAGCCAGGGCCTTCAGCCTAGAACACAAGCAGGGAGCACGACTCCCGTGTCTTCTGGGAGCAACCCGGGGCACCCGAGGTTCCGGGCCATGACAGGGACGTGGGCAGCGAAGGGCGTCTTCACTTCGCAGAGAGAGGTCCTGCTGGAGCCGCTCTGCTGGCTGGCTGGGGACTGTGAGCAGGTCCGCCGGGGCTACCTCTACGGACAACTGTGTTGTGTAGGTGGGTGCGGACGCTCAGGTTTTGGTGGGCCGGTCTTGAGTTTGTGATGGGGGTGGTACTTGGCCCAGGTACAGCCCCGCCTCCAAGCTCCGGAAACACCCGGGGAGGCAGGCAGTGTTGTCTCAGCCAAGAATAGGTTTTCCTCTGGAGGTGGGGGGGGATGGTAAATGGGCGAGCCACAGGGTTTTCCCGGCTTGGTGCTTTAGCTCTGGGGATGATACCGGAGCGGGAGTGGAGCGGGCGTTGAGGGTTGGGCTCTGGGCCCTCCCACTTGTGCTGTCATTGGCCTTCAAGGTTTTCTTCCACTGTGTGTGTGTGTGTGTGTGTGTGTGTGTGTGTGTGTGTGTACACGGACATACACGTGTACACGCATGTGCGCACGCAGGTACGTGCGTGTACTTGTGCTGGTGTCGGTATCTGAGCGTCTGAGGTGGGAAGGGATTCTTTGCTTTAGTTAACTTGTTACCACTTCACTGGAAGCAGGAAAGTCATTCCTTGCAGGACCATAATTAACCTCCTTTCCTAGGGAGACTGACTCGGTGCTGAGGATGGAGGGTGTCCCTGGGGCTGATTGGACAAGTGGGAGAGCCCCATGAGTGTGCAGCAGCGTTTGAGGACATGGCTGGGCTCTGGCCAGGTGGGGACAGAGCAGCTTGGGACCCTGTGAGTTTGAGAGTCTTCCTAGGATGAGCAGGGGAGGGGACATCTCCAGCGAGGGGCAAGGCAGAATTGGGAGAGGTGAGGGCTAGTATGAACTCTGAGGCCCTGAAAGACTTTTTAAGGAAGGAGGCCCCCTACAGACAAACTGATGTCCAGGGAAATGGGTGCCCAGAGGTCACTAGGCAAGGTGAAACCCCTACCTGGTGCTGAGTCCACTTTCCAGACAGCATTGTTAGACCATCATACAGGCAAAAGAAAGACGCTGGAAAAGCAGTTTGGCTGGAGTGGTTAGGGTCAGTGTAAATCTTGGATACCAAATCCTGTCTCCCCAACGCTCTGGTGGTTTCTTGGGTTCCTGTGCTCAACTTTCAGCAGAGTGACAGCTCACACTTCAGCAGTGACTGCTGCATACCTCCACTCATTTTTAAAGAGTTATTTATACGAGTGCTCTACACACATGTATGACTGGATGACAGATGATCAGAGAGAAGAGGGCATCAGACCCCATTGCAAATGGTTGGGAGCCACCATGTGGGTGCTGGGAATTAGACTGAGGACTTCTGGAAGAGCAGCCAGTGCTCTTAACCTCTGACCCATCTCTCTAGCCCTAGCATACCTCCACTTCTCTAAAAGGGTTTCTTCTTGACTGAGTGGTTGTTGGCCTGGTCTCTTTGAGCAGCTCCCAGAGCACTGACCAGTGTAGAGTTGGATTTGAGGTTCAGAAGGCCTCTTGAGTGGGAGGAGTCATCACTGGTGAGTTGTGGTGGTTGTTGGGCTAGGGGGGAAAGAGGTAGGTGGTCTCGAGTTGGAGGCCCAGTATGGCACTCAGTAGAGCCACTGTGCTCTGGGGTTAATGTCAGGCCTAACTCAGGCACTTGCTCCTGTTCCTCCCTACAGAGCTTTAGTGCCCTCTTGTGGCAGCGTAAGGGAAATGTTTCCGGGAATGGAGAGGCCTTGGACTCTGGAGAACGAGGCTGTTCCTCAGCAGCCCACAGCTGGATCACATCAAGGCTGATTCCTGGGCTGGAAAATTCTTGTGGTTTGAGTGGTACATTTTTTTCCTAGAGTGGGTTGGGTAGGTTGGCCATAGGTGGCTTCATCTTCTGACTAGGGGAGCCAGAGACTACACGTAGACAGATCTAGTCACAGGGGCCCCTGTGCCCTTTGCCCAGGTCCTCCACCTTTACAACCTGTAACCGCTGTTATCTGCCAGCCCTACCCTGCTGCAAACAGCCCCATCCTGCCCCCAAGGTACAACTTCCTTTGTAATGAGTCATGGCACCCAGGCCCCCTCCCCAGGTCTGACTCACTGGCTGTGCCCCCTTGGTGTGCTGCCTGCTGCCCCAGCAGCCCTTTCTCCCACCCCAACTGGGGAGGTGTCCCCGCAGCTTGGGCTGGTCTGCCTGCTGGTATGAGTCATTGCTGAGCTATGAGCTGTTCTTGCCTGAGGTGTGCTTTGCCTGGCTGGGCTGGCTTGGGCTGGACTGTTGGGGAGCCTTTGGGAGACTGCTAAAGCCAGGAAGTCCTTAAGTAGGGCCTGAAAACCTAGCAGTTGTGGGGGCTACTGCTCAGTGCAAGTTTGAGGAGGTATTGGTTAGGGGAACTTCAAGAAGTAGACAGGCAACTGGTATTCAACCCTAGCAGTTTCTTCTACAGTCACTCTACAGGAAAATAGGCCTGTTGTACGAACACACTAACACCCCTGTGTAGTAGGGAGCCTCTGTTCACTGTGTGATACAAGATCCTTCTGGATGGCCATGGGGTAGTATGTGTTCCCTTGTGACCCTGGGGCCAGCCCTCCCTCCCCCGTCTTTGTACCCAGGTCCTACTGCTATGGGTAGGGTGATTGAGGAAACCCGGGTTTCCTGTTTCTGGTGGGCTGAGGGTGTGGCCATGGGGGAGGGGCTGCCTTCCTCCTTTCCTGCAGGGACACTCCCCTTTGGGGGGCGGGCTAGGAGGGGTAAGGCTTCTGGGGTGGGACGGCCTTGCTAGGAGCACAGCAGGCAAGGGAGTGGCCACAAGGACTCCAGTCTGAGCTGAGTCTCTTTTGAGTTAGTGTCTAGAGCAGCTGGCAGCAGCCCTCAGCAGCCTTTGTACCACACGAGGCTGCCTAGACGGAGCACCTGAGAGCCAAGGGACAGTTTGACGAAGGGGCGGGGACCATGTCTCAGCACCGGCTCCGTGTGCCCGAGCCTGAGGGCCTGGGTAGCAAGAGAACCAACTCAGAGGATAACCTCTATCTGGCTGTACTCAGGGCCTCCGAGGGCAAGAAAGGTAGCAGGCATTCCTTCTGGGCAGGGCCTTGGTGACAGGAAGGGGCCTTCCTGTATCAGGAAACCTTGGCACAGAGTTGGGGTGGGGCCCTATGATAAGGGTATGGATTTTGGGGACAGGCTCCAAGATGGGGGCTAGTGATCCATGCCCATCGCTGATTGGTTCTCTAAGCCAGGGACCAGAGTGTCTAGGGCTCTCTATGTCTCTGGGAAGGCCTACTGCCCTGTTAGGGAGACTTGACTTTCCCTCTAAAAGTCCTGCTGGTGTCAGCCCTGCTCTTGCTCAGCCTGGGAGGCAGCATGTAGGGCGGGGCAGGCTGGGACTTGTGTGCTGTGGGCTCTGGGTACAGTGGCTCTAGACTGCCTCTCTTTTAGAAACAATGGAAGTTTTGAACAGCAGCACCCTGCTGGACTGGTCCCCTTTGAGGACTAGGGCAGGCCAGAGCTGGGTTTCTTGGTCTCTGGTGTCTGTGTGGGGAGGCTTTTTGGGGTCTTTCTGATCTGGGAAAGGCCTGGGGTTGCCCTGGTAGAACCTTGTCAGGCAAGGTGTGGCCTAGCAGGCCACTATGCCTGCATGGTGTCCCCCTCTGGGGGCCTTTTTAGGCTCCCCCAGACTCTAGGTAAACTGGCTTTGTCTCCTCCAGATGAACGGGACCGTGTGCAGAAGAAAACTTTCACCAAGTGGGTCAACAAACACCTTATCAAGGTTAGTGGTACCTGTTTGTGAGCTGGGAGAGTCCCTCAGCCTATTACCCCCGGGGTGTTCTCACACTTCCTAAGCTCCTCTTTTCATGTCTGAAGCCTGTTATTTTCTGTCCTTTCCTCCCACACTTACTTCTGTCTCTTTCTTCTTCCTTCTGGTCTCTCATGGTCTCTGCTGTAGCACTGGAGGGCAGAGGTAGGTGCTTCATGGGGCAGGGGTGTGCCCCGTGCCCCTCCTTTTTCACACCCAGTGCAGTGCCCAGTGCCTGAGTGGCTATGGGAATTCTCATCTGTGGCCGTCTTTGTCCCTGCTGTTTCCACAGGCTCAGAGGCACATTAGTGACCTTTATGAAGACCTCCGTGATGGACACAACCTTATCTCCCTGCTGGAAGTCCTCTCAGGGGACAGCCTGGTATGTGTGTCCCTGCCTGTGTTCCTTCCTTGGGGCTTTTCCCTACTACCCACTCAGTGTCCATCTTGGTCTCTCCCCTTCTCCAGCCTCCTCCAACCCTAACCACTCCCCCTGGCCAGGGTGTTGACATTATAGCCGAAGGCTAGGCCTGTGAATGACCATGGCCCCCCCGCTGTTCTCTGCATTTGAGCTCTAACACAGTAACCTCACGCTCTGCTCTGCTTTGGTTTCTCTGCTGCTTGGACTCTGAATCTTGACCTCTGCCCTTTACCCTTTGCCCTGCTCTGGCTGGGCAGCCGAGGGAGCGGGACGTAATCAGGAGTTTGCACCTGGTGAGTGGTTGTGCCTGCTGGCATAGCGGCACCTGGGCTTCCCAAGACTGTGGAGCCCACCCAACTCACCTGGGGATAGCAGCCAATCCAGCCTGGCCCACACCTGGCTCCTGGGCCGGCTGATGGCTGTGTGTCAAGCTGCCTTCTGCCTCCCTGCTGCCTGCCTGGGGCTGGGCCAGAGACAAACCAGAAGCTGCAGTGGGCACCACTGAGGACCCCCCTTCAATGCCACTGCCCTCCGCCTGTGGCTTCCTGGCTATTGTCTCCTCCCCACTCCCTTCCTTCCTTCCCACAGCAGGGGTTGCTGGCTTCCCAAGCCTGCCCCTGGGCTGGTGGTCATTCAGTTGAGGAGGGTGAACCTGGGACCATGGATGCACTGGGGAAGACCCTTGGATTAGTTCCTCCTGCTGCTGTTTTGGGGGTGACTGAAAGGTGGGGGGCCTTGAAGCAGCTGTTGCCTTGTGGACTCTTAACTGTGCCTTGTCTCCTCTCAGCCCCGAGAGAAGGGGAGGATGCGTTTCCACAAGCTGCAGAATGTTCAGATTGCCCTGGACTATCTACGACATCGCCAGGTAAGTAAGGCTGTCTACCTGGCCTCAGGCTCTAGGTCATAAACACCAAACCTGGCCATCTCCCTCTTCTCTGTGGGTTGTGACTGGGCCATTTGTTCTCAGGTGAAGTTAGTGAACATTAGAAATGATGACATTGCTGACGGCAACCCCAAGCTGACCCTTGGCCTGATCTGGACCATCATCTTGCACTTCCAGGTAGATGACCACACCCCTACTGTCCACCTTCCCCTAGGATTTCGGTGGGCTCCATAGCTAGTTGGCTGGCCCTATTTCTGGCTTGGGTGTGGCCAGGGAGGTGGTGCCGTTGAGCCTTCCTTCTAGTCTGAACATATGCTTGCTAGTTCTGTGGCTCTAGGGCATAATCCTTTCTCCAAGACCTGCCTATCCTGTGCCCTCAGGCCCTGTCTACATAGGGCTGGTAGAACCTCCTTGTAGAGGAATGCATTTTCTGCTGGCTGCCTAGAGAAGTTTCTGGAGCTGCAGGGATGTCCTGGGTGACTCATCTATTGCCTGTGCTAGCCTCACAGGAAGCCACAAATCTAAGATCTTGGGCCTAAAAGCCAGACTGGCATGGTAGCTGAGTCACTTGGGCTGGCCAACAGACAGCTAGGGCTAGGCTGGCACAATTATTGACATCAGGCAGGCTGGTAGACCTAGACCGGCCATTGGACTTAGGGTCAGGATGCCAGCCCTATACATTATGTCCAGTTCTCAGAGACTACTCCCTCTACCGGGACCTGCAACTACAGAGGGACCGTTACCTGCCCCTTCACCCCCCAGCAGATGAACCAACTTTGAGGGTTGTTCTTCTTATGTCCATTGCCCATCAGCTGTGTTGCATGCCAGTCTCAGGGGGTTCAGGGTGTACTCCAGCCTCCCCCAACTAAGGGGAGTCCAAAGCACCAATCGTTTGACAGTAGTAGTTAGGGATTCTGTTGTCTTCTGTGGAGGCTGCCGCCCAGAGTGGCCTGGTCTTGAAGTAAGTGTGATAGGCTTTAGCTCCAGGAACCCCAGTGTGCCCCAAGTGGCCTGGGAGCCCTGGGTATTGCAGTCCCATGCTGAGCCACTCTGCTTTCATGCAGGTAGTCAAGGCATCTGGTGGTGTGTGTGGTCAGGCAGGTCAGGTGGCCAGGACTGAGCTCTTGCCCTCTCTGCTGTGTGTGACAGATCTCAGATATTCAGGTGAGCGGGCAGTCAGAGGACATGACTGCAAAGGAAAAGCTGCTGCTCTGGTCACAGCGTATGGTAGAGGGCTACCAGGGCCTGCGTTGTGACAACTTTACCACCAGTTGGCGTGATGGCCGTCTCTTCAATGCTATCATCCACCGGCACAAGTATGTGATTCCATAGAACAGAAGGCGGCTGGAGGTTGGGAGCCCTTCAACCCAGTGACTTCAAGACAAGTCAGGGCAGAGTGGTAGCAGGAGGAATTATCTTCCACTGTTGGAACCTGGTGCCTGCAGGGTGTATTGAATTCCTGCAGCTTCCTCTGGGAGGTGCCTGGAGCAGGGCCCTGCTTTCTCCTACAAGGCCCTTCAGAGGTACCTCTGTTTATCCAGGCTGGTCATGTCCACATGGGCCCTCAGAAGGAACCTGATGGGAAGGGAGACTGTAGAAGCCCAAGTTGATGATATCTAGCCAGTGCACTGCTCCTGTGCTGGTGCCCACCACAGGCTCCTTGGGCCCCGTTGCTGAGTATGGTGGCACATGCCTTTAATCCCAGCACTCTGGTGCAGACACAGGCAGATGGATTTGTGAATCTGGTTTACATAGGAGTTACAGGCCAGTCACCCAGGGTTACCCAGTGAGACCCTGCCTCAAAACAACAACAACCCTCCAATCCCAAACAAAAATCAACTTTCCCATGGCAGGATTGGAGATGTTAGTGAGTGGGTAGTGTGTCTTTAGGAGGGTATGAGGCCGAGCTCTGTTTGCTAGGATGTGTGAAGGAATGTGTCTATGTAGCCCTGCTCAGTGGGTGTCTCTGCCCCTGCTCCCCATTCCCACTTGTCCGCAGGCCTATGCTCATTGATATGAACAAAGTGTATCGTCAGACCAACCAGGAGAACCTAGACCAGGCCTTCTCCGTGGCAGAGCGGGACCTGGGAGTTACAAGGCTCCTGGACCCAGAAGGTATGAACCTCTCACTGGCTTGTCCCATTTTCACTCTTGCTACTTGAGCCCCGCTGAACCAGTCTCCTCTACAGATGTGGATGTCCCTCAGCCTGATGAGAAGTCTATCATCACTTATGTTTCATCCCTGTATGATGCCATGCCCCGTGTGCCCGGTGCACAGGATGGCGTGAGGGCCAATGTGAGTGGGTAGCTTATGATGGGTGAAAGGTGAGCCTCAGCCTAGAACCCAAAACCTTGATGGCTGCTTGCTTACTCCTTTGCTCATAGGAGTTGCAGCTTCGCTGGCAGGAGTACCGGGAGCTAGTGTTGCTGCTTCTGCAGTGGATCCGGCACCATACAGCTGCCTTTGAGGAGCGCAAGTTCCCCTCCAGCTTTGAAGAGATTGAGGTGGGTCTGCCCACTTAGTCTTGTGGTGGGCCTGCCTACTTGGGCTGGTATCCTTTGGTTGTCTTGGTGTAGCTGCTGACACCCCTCATCTCCATAGATCCTATGGTGTCAGTTTTTGAAGTTCAAGGAGACGGAGCTTCCAGCCAAGGAGGCAGATAAGAACCGGTCCAAAGGCATCTATCAGTCTTTGGAGGTAAAGTGAGGCACTCCTGTGGGAAGTGAGTGGGGTACCTCCTAGATTTTGGGCTGCCTGGGGCTGTGAAGGCCAGATATTCCCTGGGTAGATAAATTGAGGCCTTCATGAGCCCCAGAACTCTCAAGTATGGCTTGACTTTGCCTAGTGCTTAGGGACCAAAGTTGTACCCGGTTGTGGAGGAGATGAGCATCCGGTAGTCCTTTTGTCCAGTTTAGGCCTGAGCTTGTTCCTGTTCACAGGGGGCAGTACAAGCAGGCCAGCTCAAGATTCCCCCTGGCTACCACCCGTTAGATGTGGAAAAGGAATGGGGCAAGCTACATGTGGCTATCCTGGAGCGGGAGAAGCAACTCCGGAGCGAGTTTGAAAGGTGGGCTGTGTGGAGGGTGGCAGGCAGTGTGGGAGGCAGCAGGCGGGTGGGGCCCTGTGGTGTCAGGGGAGCCACCCCAGGGTGAGTCATTGCTTGAGGAGGAAACCCCCACCCCCACCCCACACACCAGGCTGGGGAATCCAGGCTGCAGTGTTCAGGGCCAGCAGGACAGTACGCCCCAGGCAGGCAGTGAGGCTAGAGCAGAGGGGAGCCACTCTCTGGCCCTGGAGTGTGGTGGGGCTCAGTGACTCACTGTGGGGCTTTGGGGTGATCTGGTTCATAGGTTGGAGTGTCTCCAGCGAATTGTGAGCAAACTGCAGATGGAGGCTGGGTTGTGTGAGGAACAACTGAACCAGGCCGACTCCCTACTACAGTCGGTGAGGGGGAGAGGAGAGATGGGGAGAGTGGGCGGGGTGGCAGGGTAAGGGTGGAGTGGGCACCCCTCCAGGTCTGAGGGAGGTAGGAGGAGCTCTGAGCTGCTTACTCTGCAGCCAGGGCTGTGGCCTGCTGGGCTATAGGCACAGGGTGTGGCACTAGGGTGGGAAAACCAGGCCCTTCTGATTTGCTGCCAACTCTGACCTCCTTTTGTGAACAGAGATGACTTCTGGCCACTAGGCAGGACTCTGCCTCCCTGCCTCATCCCAGATTGGCCCTCCTCCCTCTTCAGGAAATGGGGAGTGGGGAGACCCCAGCCTCATTGTTGGATAAGTGCCATGAGGCACAGGGCTTGTGTGGGCCTGGGTTTGGGAGAAGTTGTGTGGTAGATGATGGAGGGTGAGGCAGAGGGACTCTGTGAACAAAGCTGTGACGGTGTCTGTCCTTGGACCTAGCGGGAATCTTTTGGATGGATCCTGATTCCCCAGAGAACTGATACAGATTTGTCTAGAAGCATGATAGTAAGATATGTGGGATTGCCAGGAAGGGAAGGAAAGAACGGGGCTTCCAAGGCTGTGAGCCAGACAGGACCTTGATCTTAGGTTGGGGAAGTGGGTGAAGGGGCAACTTTGGTTGAGAACAGTAGGCAGTGAGTAGGAGAGTCAGCCAGATCAAGTCACGCAGGATCATCTTTCAGGATATTCGGCTGCTGGCCTCAGGCAAGGTGGCTCAGCAGGCTGGGGAAGTGGAGCGAGACCTGGATAAGGCTGATGGTATGATCCGGCTGTTGTTCAATGATGTGCAGACCCTTAAAGACGGGCGGCATCCACAGGGTGAACAGATGTACCGGAGGTAGGTACCATACCTAGGAAGGGTAGGTTAGGAGGCCTGAGATCCATCTGACCCTCTCCCCAACTCTCGTGCACTCTCAGGGTGTATCGTCTGCATGAGCGCCTGGTAGCCATCCGCACTGAGTACAACCTCCGGCTGAAGGCAGGAGTGGCTGCCCCTGTGACCCAAGTGACCTTGCAGAGTACACAGAGGCGCCCAGAACTAGAGGACTCTACACTACGCTACCTGCAAGACCTGCTGGCATGGGTAGAGGAGAACCAGCGTCGAATAGACAGTGCTGAGTGGGGTGTGGACTTGCCTAGTGTAGAGGCACAGCTGGGCAGCCACCGAGGCATGCATCAGTCTATTGGGGAGTTTCGGGCCAAGATTGAGCGGGCACGGAATGATGAGGTAAGCAGTACACTTGGGGTAGGCAATGGTTGTGGGCCAGGGCCAGGCCACTGCAGACCTTACTACTTGTGTCTTTTGCAGAGCCAGCTCTCCCCTGCCACCCGGGGTGCCTACAGAGACTGCCTGGGCCGCCTAGACCTGCAGTATGCAAAGCTGCTGGTGAGTGTTGGGGGACCTGGACTGCAGGCGGCTGGGAGGGATAGGCAGCAGCAGTCAGCTGACTCATTTTTTCCTACTTAAAGAACTCCTCCAAGGCCTGCCTCCGGTCTCTGGAGAGCTTGCACGGGTTTGTGGCTGCTGCTACTAAGGAGTTGATGTGGCTAAATGAGAAGGAAGAGGAGGAAGTGGGCTTTGATTGGAGTGACAGAAACACCAACATGGCTGCCAAGAAGGAGAGTTACTCGGTGAGGCAGCTTTTTCTTCACAGGGCGCCCATGTCCACCTGCTTCCTTCCCATTCACATCCATGTTGTCTCCCACTATTGGGAGCCCCTTGAGTTCAGCTTCAGGTCTCTGTGAAGATGGGCGTGGGACTTGTGTTGCATTTATAGCCTTCCTGAAACTGCCCCTGACAATCTTTTCCTTTTTGTCAGGCCCTGATGCGTGAGCTGGAGATGAAGGAAAAGAAAATCAAGGAGATCCAGAATACTGGAGACCGGTTGCTGCGGGAAGACCATCCTGCCCGGCCCACGGTGGAGGTGGGGGCAAGGCTTCAGGGAACCTTATGAGCATCGGTGGGGTAGGGCTATGGGACTGATGGTGTGGGTGTGGGGCCTAAAGACCGTGTTGTCTATAGTCCTTCCAGGCTGCCTTGCAGACCCAGTGGAGCTGGATGCTGCAGCTGTGTTGTTGCATTGAAGCACACTTGAAAGAGAACACAGCCTACTTCCAGGTAAGGACTAAAGCCTCTCTCCCCCGTGGCTCAGCCACAGAGCCCTAGTCGTACTTGACTTGTGTAGCCATGACTGCCAGTCCTCCTGGGGGGTTCCAGCACCTCTTCCCTCCAGTCTGGCTTCTGGTCTTATGCTTGCCTGGGGTTTGGGCCTGTCAGCCCTGTGTGACCCCCTCCTGCTGTCCCAGTTCTTCTCAGACGTTCGGGAGGCTGAGGAACAGCTGCATAAACTACAGGAGACAATGCGCAGGAAGTACAGCTGTGACCGCTCCATTACCGTCACCAGGCTGGAGGATCTGCTGCAGGATGCCCAGGTGAGGCAGATGTGAATGAGGAACAGAAGGGCAGACTGGATGGAGCATGGGTTGTGTGGGTGCCAGTGGGTGGGATGGAAGGCCCAACAGGACTAAGGAGACACACAGGGTGCAGGTGTACAACAAACTGAAAAGAATGGTGACAGGCTGGTGGGCTGGCATGAGTCCCAAACCTTAGAGCCTACCTGAGTGGAGCTGTCACCAGCCCTATGGCGAAGAGGCATTGACATCATGGCCTGATGATTGGAGCAGGCCTAGCTGTAGCACTGTGAATGGCAGCTGGGCAGCTGGATGTGGTATCCTTATCCACTGCGGTGTGGTTGGGGGTAGCCACAATAGTCTCAGTGCTCCAGATAGGAAGTCTGGAGAGGGAGAAGAGGAAGCTGATTCTATGATCTGCAAGGACTGAACCAGCTACAGTACTTACCTGAGAGGATGGGAGAGGGCCAGGTGCTCCAGCGTGTACTCTGACCTTGAACTGCTCTTGGTGAACTTTGTTCTCCCATCCCTTCCCTTCAGCTTAGACAGGGGAAGAGGGTGACTTTCTTCTACAACTAGAAGGGGAGGGTGAAGGGGCAAGGTCATTGCAGGGGCTGGCTTAGAAGTAGGCCCTACCCTTTCTTTAGAGGATGTAGGCGTGGCCTAGGGTAGGGATGGGGTACCTAGTCTTAGTTGGAAGGAAGGAGATCAGGGGAATCAGTTTGTGGTGGCCTGTACCCTCTTGGAACTGTACCTGCTGCTTTCTGGGCCAGGTGTCTCTACATTGGACCTAGGTGGGTTGACCCTGAACCTCCCCTCCCCACAGGATGAGAAGGAGCAGCTGAATGAGTATAAGGGGCACCTCTCAGGCCTGGCCAAGCGGGCCAAGGCCATTGTGCAGTTGAAGCCACGCAACCCTGCCTACCCCATGCGGGGCCATGTGCCCTTGCTGGCTGTGTGTGATTATAAGCAGGTGGAGGTAAGGGCTGCGCTAGGCTATGCCCAAGTTGGAGGGTATGGTTCGGCTAGGGCACAGTTCCCTTTACCTACATTGCTTACTGCTCTAACAACCCCAGGTGACTGTACACAAGGGTGACCAGTGCCAGCTAGTGGGCCCTGCCCAGCCATTCCACTGGAAGGTGCTCAGCGGTTCTAGCAGTGAAGCTGCTGTGCCTTCAGTGTGCTTTCTTGTGCCACCACCCAACCAGGAGGCCCAGGAAGCTGTCACTAGGTTGGTTAACTGAGGGTTCACTGCTATGGGGGAGGGTGTTGTGGATAGTGAGGAGGGTTCTAGACACTTGAACATGGTCCTTGTCTCGTAGACTAGAGGCCCAGCATCAAGCCCTGGTCACACTGTGGCACCAGCTGCATGTGGACATGAAGAGCCTTCTGGCGTGGCAGAGTCTCAGCCGTGACATACAGCTCATTCGGTCCTGGTCCCTCGTCACGGTAGGACTACTCACTGGCCATGGGTTCTGGGAAGGATGGGAGGTGGTGTCTTGTGGGCACAGCTGGCCTGGCCCCATTCTCAACGGTGTGTCACCTCCAGTTCCGCACGCTGAAGCCAGAGGAGCAGCGCCAAGCTCTACGCAACCTGGAGCTACACTACCAGGCCTTCCTTCGAGACAGCCAGGACGCTGGTAGCTTTGGCCCCGAGGACCGACTGGTGGCAGAACGGGAGTATGGATCTTGCAGTCGCCACTACCAGCAGCTACTACAAAGCCTAGAGCAGGGTATGGGGTGGGCAAGGCCCTGTGGAGTGGCAGGTAGGCAGGAGTATGTTGCCCATTTCTGATTAACCTGGTTGTTTCCCCAGGTGAGCAAGAGGAGTCTCGCTGTCAGCGATGCATCTCGGAGCTCAAAGATATTCGGTTGCAACTGGATGCCTGTGAGACCCGGACTGTGCACCGTCTGCGGCTACCACTGGACAAAGAGCCTGCACGGGAGTGTGCCCAACGCATTGCTGAGCAGCAGGCAAGCACAGTCCCCATATATCTCACCCCTCCTACCCACTCCACCCTCTCTCATCTTCAAGGGAAACTGGTTGTTAGGCTCTGCTGGTCAATGTGTCCTTACCTGGTCTCTCTACAGAAAGCTCAAGCTGAGGTAGAAGGGCTAGGCAAGGGAGTTGCCCGCCTCTCTGCTGAGGCTGAGAAAGTTCTAGCCTTGCCAGAGCCATCACCTGCTGCTCCCACTCTGCGCTCGGAGTTAGAATTGACGCTGGGCAAGCTGGAACAGGTCCGAAGCTTATCTGCCATCTACTTGGAGAAGTGAGTGTTCCTGTGCAGGCTTCGGGGTCCAGTGGGGCTCCTCTGCTGAGGGCAGTGATTCCAGACACATTCTGAGCAGAGGAAAGATGAGGCTGGGGTTGTAAAGTAGCAGTGGGGACTGACTGTTGAGCATTCTGGCTAGGGGATGGTGGGCGTGGGTCTAGTCCTGCACAGCAGCATGGGGTGATAAGTAATGCTCAGAGCCTGATGCACTGTGAAGGTCCTATCCGTAGATCTTCTTGATAATGGAATGTGAAGGGTGGGGTAAAGAGACACTGGTGCTATTTCCTGAGAAGTCATAGATTTGGCACACTACCAGGAGCCAGCCCAGTGAAGAGGGAGGGGAGAGGATGGATTGGAACAGAGGTTGTTTCAAGTTGTGATTAGAAGGGAACACAGATAGAAGGGAAGGGGGGAGGGAGAGGAGGAGGGAGAGAGGCCATGAGTGTGGCCAGACTGGTAGCATCAGGAGGAAGGACCAATCTGCTACATGGAGGCCATCAGTGAGTTTGAGAGACTGATGAGCTTCTTGGTGGAGAAAAATGGAGACCTAAGAGGAACAGTTATGGTTGGAGCAATGCTTAAGATGTTAGAGGGACAGGCAGCAAGATCCCCCAGGCTTCTTGACCTCATCATCCTTTTAGGATCCTTCCTTTTGGTGGCATGAGATCCTTTCCAGAGCCCAGCCCCTTCTACCTATCCTCTTGTGCCTAACTGCAGAGTTTCTACTCTTTTCTTTCTGTTTATTTTAGCATATTTTCATTCAGAGGTTTTTGTTTTAGCATAGTTTCATTCAGAGACACTGTAGATACATTCATAGGGCCTGACTTCCAGAAGACTTGTGCCCTCAGCATTTATTGCTTTCTGTATTATGTAGTACATCCACTTTTTTTTTTTTTTTTTAAATGTGCTCTGGTGATGTTTTGCCTGCATATGTGTATGTCTGTGTAAAGGTGTCAGATCCCCTGGAACTGGAATTACAGACATTTGTGAGCTGCCATGTGGGTGATGGGACTGGAACCCAGGTCCTCTGGAAGAGCATCCACTCTTTATTAACAAATGCTAATACAGTGTTAGGACTGTCTCTGTTGGTTACATGGTCTCCTTCCTACTTCCTGTTTGCTCAGCAAGTCTTGAGCTGGAGGTTGAGGACTACACTGCAAGTGCTGTAACCTGCTCCTACTTGGAGCATCCTCCCTCTGGGTCTTCCAGCTTAAGTCACCACTGCTCTGGCCAGGTAGGGTCTGGGCATAGCAGGAGGCACATAGTGGTTCTGGTTCCTTCATCTAGGCTGTGTTGCTTGAGCCCATGTATTTCCTGGCTGAGTCTTGCTATCTCCTACCTAGACTGAAGACCATTAGCTTGGTAATTCGCAGTACCCAGGGGGCTGAGGAGGTGCTTAAAGCCCATGAGGAGCAGCTCAAGGAGGCCCAGGCTATACCTGCCACTCTCCAGGAGCTTGAAGCCACCAAGGCCTCACTAAAGGTACTGTTTGGGAACTTGTGCTTCACTGGGGACAGGGTCAATAGGAGTCTGTGTTAAAATGGCACCCACCTTGTCTTGCCCAACAGAAACTGCGGGCCCAGGCAGAAGCACAGCAGCCTGTATTTGACACCCTAAGAGATGAGCTGAGAGGGGCCCAGGAAGTTGGTGAAAGGCTACAACAGCGGCATGGAGAGCGGGATGTGGAAGTGGAGCGCTGGCGAGAGCGCATCACCCAGTTGCTGGAGCGCTGGCAGGCTGTGCTAGCCCAGACTGATGTGCGGCAGCGTGAGCTTGAACAGCTGGGTCGCCAACTTCGCTACTACCGCGAGAGCGCTGACCCACTGAGCTCCTGGCTGCAAGACGCCAAGAGGCGGCAAGAACAGATCCAGGCTGTGCCAATACCCCACAACCAGGCTGCACGAGAACAACTGCGCCAGGAGAAGGTGGGTCTCAGGCTTGGCATGCCATAGGTTGCAGCCAATGGCTCGATGCTAACCCCTTCCTCCCTCAGGCCCTGCTGGAAGAGATTGAGCGTCATGGCGAGAAGGTTGAGGAGTGCCAGAGGTTCGCCAAGCAGTACATCAATGCCATCAAGGTGAGGCCTCCCACTGCCAGCTCTAGAACTCAAAACCAGGGGCACACTTGCCAGTTGCAAGCATTGGGCTCTTGAGTGGCTCTCCCAAGCCTGGGCTGTGCCAGAGAAAGCCCGTGAGGCAGCCTGGGGATCAGGCTCAGGCAACCAGAGTGTATAGAGCTGGCAGCTGACTACACTGTGTGTCTATAGGACTATGAACTCCAGCTGGTCACCTACAAGGCACAGCTTGAGCCCGTGGCCTCCCCAGCCAAGAAGCCCAAGGTTCAGTCTGGATCGGAGAGTGTCATCCAAGAGGTAGGATGGAGTTGGGCCAAGCCTCAACTGAGCAAGGGGCTAGGTGGACCTCAGGCGGCTCTTGGTTATTGATTGACTTCCTCCTTTCTCCCAGTATGTGGATCTGCGTACACGCTACAGTGAGCTGACCACACTCACAAGTCAATACATCAAGTTCATCAGTGAGACATTGCGACGCATGGAAGAGGAAGAGGTATGCCTGGGGCCATGTGGGCAGGGTCGGGGAAGTGCCTTTTCCTGGTTTCAAATGCAGCCCATATTTCTATGATCCCTGTCTGGGACCACTTGTTACAGTTCACTCCATGCCCCATGCCCAGTGCTGCCCAGTACCCCACCCCAGCACGGCTCCCTCGGTCACCCTTCCTTGTGGCTGCCACCTTGATCTGGCTCAGCTCTGCGCTCCTCCTGGTGGCTAGTGCGCCCTTTCTCATTGGCGAGTGTTCCTACATGCATCCTTCTGGCTCTCATATGTGCTCTTCCTGGGGATTCTGTGTTGGTGTCACTGGGTCTCACCCTAGGAAGAGTTGATGTGTGTGGTTGTGGGCTTTGGAGAGAAGTGTCTCAGAGTAACTTGGCCAGGCGTGGTGCCATCTGTCTAGTTCCCTGTATCCCAGGTGGCCTTGGTGGCTTGCCTGTAGCCCTACATCCACTTTGCTTCTATTGGCCAGCTTGAGAGGCCTTCTGTTCTGGCTCTGGTCTACGTGGCTATCCTTACTTTGGCTGCCTTACCATGCTCCCATCCCACTGGGCTTTGGGAACAGCGCCCCCCCCCCCATGAAGGGAGAGGGCCCTTGGTGGGAACCAGGCCTGAGAGGATCTGGTAGAATTCAGATTCTGTGTGTGGCATGGTGGGTATGGCTTGCAGGCCCTGCGAGCCTCCTGCTTTGCTCTCTCTTCTCTCTCCCCCTATCCATCTGTCTCCGTTGCCTGTCTGCGGGAAGAGGGGAGGATGCCTGGGCCTCCTTCCCCAGGCTGGTGAGCATGGTGGGGCCGCTATGCTCGCTGCTCAAGTACCCTGGGTGGGTGCACGCTGTCTCCTTGGTTGGTTTGGAACCCCTGTCCTCCCTGATCCCCCCAAATTGTGCTGTCGAAGTGAACTGTGCTAGTACTGTCCATGTCATGTGAGCACCCGGCACCCTCCTGACGCTCACGCTGTCTCCGGTTCTCTTCCTCTCTCTGCTGCCGCCACAGAGGTTGGCTGAGCAACAGCGGGCAGAGGAGCGTGAGCGACTGGCTGAGGTAGAGGCTGCACTGGAGAAGCAGCGGCAGTTAGCTGAGGCACATGCCCAGGCTAAGGCACAGGCAGAGCTGGAGGCACAAGAACTGCAGCGGCGCATGCAAGAGGAGGTGGCACGGCGTGAGGAGGCAGCGGTGGATGCACAGCAGCAGAAGCGCAGCATCCAAGAGGAGCTGCAGCATCTTCGGCAGAGCTCAGAGGCAGAGATCCAGGCCAAGGCCCAACAGGTGGAGGCTGCAGAGCGCAGCCGGATGCGTATTGAGGAGGAGATCCGTGTAGTGCGTCTGCAGCTGGAGACAACTGAGCGTCAGCGTGGAGGGGCAGAGGGCGAGCTACAGGCTCTGCGTGCACGGGCCGAGGAGGCAGAAGCACAGAAGCGTCAGGCTCAGGAGGAAGCCGAACGCTTGCGAAGGCAGGTGCAAGATGAGAGCCAGCGCAAAAGGCAGGCGGAGGCAGAGCTGGCCCTGCGTGTAAAGGCCGAAGCAGAGGCAGCCCGAGAGAAGCAGCGGGCCCTGCAGGCCCTGGAGGAATTGCGGCTGCAGGCTGAAGAGGCTGAACGGCGGCTGCGCCAAGCTGAGGCAGAGAGGGCACGCCAAGTGCAGGTAGCTCTGGAGACAGCACAGCGCAGTGCCGAGGTGGAGCTGCAGAGCAAGCGTGCATCTTTTGCTGAGAAGACAGCGCAGCTGGAGCGCACGCTGCAGGAAGAGCATGTGACAGTGACACAGCTGCGGGAGGAGGCCGAGCGGCGGGCACAGCAACAAGCTGAGGCTGAACGAGCCCGTGAGGAGGCTGAGCGGGAGCTAGAGCGCTGGCAGCTAAAGGCCAATGAGGCGCTTAGGTTGCGGCTGCAGGCGGAAGAGGTGGCCCAGCAGAAGAGTCTGGCTCAGGCTGATGCGGAGAAGCAGAAGGAGGAGGCAGAGCGGGAGGCACGGCGGCGTGGTAAGGCAGAGGAGCAGGCTGTGCGGCAGCGAGAGCTGGCTGAACAAGAGCTGGAGAAGCAGCGCCTGTTGGCGGAGGGTACTGCGCAGCAGCGCCTGGCTGCAGAGCAGGAGCTGATCCGCCTGCGTGCTGAGACAGAGCAAGGCGAACAGCAGCGGCAGCTGCTGGAAGAGGAGCTGGCCCGGCTGCAGCGGGAAGCGACTGCAGCCACGCAGAAGCGCCAGGAGCTGGAGGCTGAACTGGCCAAAGTGCGGGCCGAGATGGAGGTACTGCTGACCAGCAAGGCGCGAGCCGAGGAAGAGTCTCGATCTACCAGCGAGAAGTCTAAGCAGAGGCTTGAGGCTGAGGCCGACCGCTTTAGAGAGCTGGCTGAGGAGGCTGCCCGTCTGCGTGCCCTGGCTGAGGAGGCAAAGCGGCAGAGGCAGCTAGCTGAGGAGGATGCGGCACGCCAGCGGGCCGAGGCAGAGCGAGTGCTTACTGAGAAGCTGGCTGCCATTAGTGAGGCCACAAGGCTCAAGACAGAGGCAGAGATTGCACTCAAAGAGAAGGAGGCCGAGAATGAGCGCCTACGGCGCCTGGCTGAAGACGAGGCCTTCCAGAGGCGGCGTCTGGAGGAGCAGGCTGCCCTGCACAAGGCTGACATAGAGGAGCGTTTGGCGCAGCTGCGCAAGGCATCAGAGAATGAGCTAGAGCGGCAAAAGGGGTTGGTGGAAGACACGCTGCGACAGCGGCGACAGGTGGAGGAGGAGATCATGGCACTGAAGGTGAGCTTTGAGAAAGCTGCCGCGGGCAAGGCCGAGCTGGAGCTGGAGCTAGGGCGCATTCGAAGCAATGCCGAGGACACAATGCGCAGCAAGGAGCAGGCAGAGCAAGAGGCAGCGCGACAGCGTCAGTTGGCAGCTGAGGAGGAGCAGAAGCGCAGGGAAGCAGAGGAGCGTGTGCAGAAGAGCCTGGCAGCTGAGGAGGAAGCTGCACGGCAGCGCAAGGTTGCACTGGAGGAAGTCGAGCGTCTCAAGGCCAAGGTGGAGGAAGCACGGCGCCTGCGGGAACGAGCAGAGCAGGAGTCCGCAAGGCAGCTGCAGCTGGCCCAGGAGGCTGCCCAGAAACGACTGCAGGCAGAGGAGAAGGCGCATGCCTTTGTGGTGCAGCAGCGGGAAGAGGAGCTGCAGCAAACTCTTCAGCAAGAGCAGAGCATGCTAGAACGGCTGCGGAGTGAGGCAGATTCAGCGCGGCGAGCTGCCGAGGAAGCAGAGGAGGCCCGGGAGCAGGCAGAACGGGAGGCAGCACAGTCACGGAAACAAGTGGAAGAGGCGGAGCGGCTGAAACAGTCAGCGGAGGAGCAGGCACAGGCCCGGGCGCAGGCACAGGCAGCTGCAGAGAAGCTGCGTAAGGAAGCTGAGCAGGAGGCGGCGCGTCGGGCACAGGCAGAGCAGGCAGCATTGAAGCAGAAGCAAGCTGCCGATGCAGAGATGGAGAAGCATAAGAAGTTTGCTGAGCAGACACTGCGGCAGAAGGCCCAGGTAGAGCAGGAGCTGACAACACTAAGGCTGCAGCTAGAGGAGACTGACCACCAGAAGAGCATCCTAGATGAGGAGCTGCAGCGGCTAAAGGCTGAGGTGACTGAGGCTGCCCGCCAGCGTAGCCAGGTAGAGGAGGAGCTCTTCTCTGTCCGTGTGCAGATGGAAGAGCTGGGCAAGCTCAAGGCTCGCATTGAAGCTGAAAACCGGGCACTCATCCTGCGTGACAAGGACAACACGCAGCGCTTCCTGGAGGAGGAGGCTGAAAAGATGAAACAGGTGGCAGAGGAGGCTGCCCGGTTGAGTGTGGCTGCCCAGGAGGCAGCACGGCTGCGGCAGCTAGCAGAGGAAGACCTGGCGCAGCAGCGGGCCCTGGCAGAGAAGATGCTCAAGGAAAAGATGCAGGCAGTACAGGAAGCCACGAGGCTTAAAGCTGAGGCCGAGCTGCTACAGCAGCAGAAGGAGCTTGCACAGGAGCAGGCCCGGCGGTTGCAAGAGGACAAGGAGCAGATGGCACAGCAGTTGGTAGAGGAGACACAGGGTTTCCAGCGGACACTGGAGGCAGAGCGGCAGCGGCAGCTGGAAATGAGCGCAGAGGCTGAGCGCCTCAAGCTGCGCATGGCTGAGATGAGCCGGGCTCAGGCCCGTGCAGAGGAGGATGCCCAGCGCTTCCGGAAGCAGGCTGAAGAGATTGGTGAAAAGCTGCACCTCACTGAACTTGCTACGCAGGAGAAAGTGACATTGGTGCAGACACTGGAGATCCAGCGACAACAGAGTGATCATGATGCTGAGCGTCTGAGGGAGGCCATTGCTGAGCTGGAGCGGGAGAAGGAGAAGCTCAAGCAAGAGGCCACATTGCTGCAGCTCAAGTCTGAGGAGGTACCGCCCTCCCTCCTCATAGGTGGAAGGGTGGGCTGGGTGGCAGGGAGGGTCTGCCCTTGGTGGCGAATACTTCTGGGTCTCCAGGGTCTCCATCTTCCTTGACAGCTAACCTCCTTTTCCGTTCTTACCAGATGCAGACTGTGCAGCAGGAGCAGATACTGCAGGAGACACAGGCCTTGCAGAAGAGCTTCCTCTCTGAGAAGGATAGCCTGCTACAACGGGAGCGCTTCATTGAGCAGGAAAAGGCCAAGCTGGAACAGCTTTTCCAGGATGAAGTGGCAAAAGCGCAGCAGCTACGTGAGGAGCAGCAGCGGCAGCAGCAGCAGATGGAGCAGGAGAAGCAGGAGTTGGTGGCCAGCATGGAGGAGGCCAGACGGCGGCAGTGCGAGGCAGAGGAGGCTGTGAGGCGTAAGCAGGAGGAGCTGCAGCATTTGGAGCAGCAGCGGCAGCAGCAGGAGAAGCTGCTGGCTGAGGAGAACCAGAGGCTGCGAGAGCGGCTGCAGCGCCTGGAGGAAGAGCACCGGGCTGCATTGGCACACTCAGAGGAGATTGCTGCCACCCAGGCTGCCACCGCAAAAGCTCTACCCAATGGCCAAGATGCACTGGATGGCCCACCCGTGGAGGTAGAACCTGAGCACGCCTTCGAGGGTCTGCGTCAGAAGGTGCCAGCTCAACAGCTACAGGAAGCAGGCATTTTGAGCATGGAGCAACTGCAGTGGCTGGCACAGGGCCACACCACCGTGGCTGAGCTCTCACAGCGGGAGGATGTACACCAATATCTGAAGGGCCGCAGCAGTATTGCAGGACTGCTGCTAAAGCCCACCAATGAGAAACTGAGTGTCTACACAGCCCTACAGAGGCAGCTGCTTAGCCCTGGAACAGCTCTTATCCTTCTCGAGGCCCAGGCAGCCTCAGGCTTCCTGCTGGACCCTGTACGGAACCGGCGGCTGACTGTCAACGAGGCTGTGAAGGAGGGTGTCGTGGGTCCTGAGCTACACCACAAGCTCCTGTCAGCAGAGCGTGCTGTCACCGGCTACAAGGACCCCTACACAGGGGAACAGATCTCCCTCTTCCAGGCCATGAAGAAGGACCTCATCGTTAGGGACCATGGCATCCGCCTGCTGGAGGCCCAGATCGCCACGGGTGGCATCATCGACCCTGTACACAGCCACCGTGTACCTGTGGACGTGGCCTACCAGCGTGGCTACTTTGATGAGGAGATGAACCGTGTCTTGGCTGACCCCAGTGATGACACCAAGGGCTTCTTCGACCCCAACACACATGAGAACCTCACCTATCTACAGCTGCTGGAGCGCTGTGTGGAGGATCCCGAGACAGGCCTGCGTCTCCTGCCTCTCACAGATAAGGCTGCCAAGGGTGGTGAGCTGGTGTACACTGATACAGAGGCCCGTGACGTCTTTGAGAAGGCCACTGTGTCTGCACCATTTGGCAAGTTCCAGGGTAAGACTGTGACCATCTGGGAGATCATCAACTCAGAGTACTTCACAGCAGAGCAGCGACGGGATCTGCTGCGGCAGTTCCGAACAGGCCGCATCACAGTGGAGAAGATCATTAAGATTGTTATCACGGTGGTAGAGGAACAAGAGCGGAAGGGCCAGCTCTGCTTCGAGGGCCTCCGTGCCCTTGTGCCTGCTGCAGAGCTACTGGAGAGTGGGGTTATCAACCATGAACTCTACCAGCAGCTGCAAAGGGGTGAACGTTCTGTGCAGGAGGTAGCTGAGGCTGACAGTGTGAGGCGGGCCCTGCGGGGTGCCAGTGTCATTGCAGGTGTGTGGCTAGAAGAAGCAGGGCAGAAGCTGAGTATCTATGAGGCCTTGAAGAAAGACTTGCTGCAGCCAGATGTGGCTGTGGCCTTGCTGGAGGCCCAGGCTGGCACTGGGCACATCATTGACCCTGCCACTAGTGCCCGGCTAACTGTGGATGAGGCGGTGCGCGCTGGCCTAGTAGGCCCTGAGCTGCATGAGAAGCTCTTGTCAGCTGAGAAGGCTGTGACAGGCTACAGGGACCCCTACTCAGGACAGAGTGTCTCACTGTTCCAGGCCCTGAAAAAGGGTCTCATTCCCCGAGAACAGGGCCTGCGCCTGCTGGATGCCCAGTTATCCACTGGTGGCATTGTAGACCCCAGCAAGAGCCACCGAGTGCCACTGGATGTTGCCTATGCCCGGGGCTACCTGGACAAAGAGACCAACAGGGCCCTGTTGTCACCCAGGGATGATGCCAGAATCTACCTTGACCCCAGCAACCGGAAGCCAGTCACCTACAGCCAGCTCCAGCAGCGGTGCCATTCTGACCAGCTGACCGGGTTGAGCCTGCTGCCAGTCTCAGAGAAGGTTGTCCGGGCCCAGCAAGAGGAGGTCTACTCTGAGCTCCAGGCCCGTGAGACATTGGAGAAGGCCACGGTTGGGGTCCCCGTGGGCAGCTTTAAGGGCAGGACAATGACAGTGTGGGAGCTCATAAGCTCCGAATACTTCACTGAGGAGCAGCGGCAGGAGCTGCTACGGCAGTTCCGCATGGGCAAGGTCACTGTAGAGAAGGTCATCAAGATTCTCATCACTATTGTGGAGGAGGTAGAGATCCAGCGGCAGGAGCGACTTTCCTTTAGTGGCCTCCGTGCCCCTGTGCCGGCCAGTGAGCTCCTGGCTGCCAAGATCCTCAGTAGAGCTCAGTTTGACCAGCTCAAGGATGGCAAGACGTCAGTCAAAGACCTGTCAGAGGTGGGTTCTGTGCGGACACTGCTACAAGGCAGTGGCTGCCTAGCTGGCATCTACCTGGAGGACTCTAAAGAGAAAGTAACCATCTATGAGGCCATGCGCCGGGGCCTCCTCAGACCCTGCACGGCCACACTCCTGCTGGAGGCCCAGGCAGCCACTGGCTTTCTAGTGGACCCTGTGCGGAACCAACGTCTGTATGTCCACGAGGCTGTCAAAGTGGGGGTAGTGGGCCCTGAGCTCCATGAGAAGCTACTGTCAGCTGAGAAAGCGGTCACTGGCTATAAGGATCCCTACTCAGGCACCACCATCTCGCTGTTCCAGGCTATGAAGAAGGGCTTGGTCCTCAGGGAACATGCCATCCGCCTGCTCGAGGCTCAGATTGCCACAGGTGGCATCATTGACCCCGTGCACAGCCACCGCCTGCCCATGGACGTGGCCTACCAGCGTGGCTACTTCGATGAGGAGATGAATCGTATGCTGACAGATCCAAGTGATGACACCAAGGGCTTCTTCGACCCCAACACACACGAGAACCTCACCTACCTACAGCTGCTGGAGCGCTGTGTGGAGGACCCCGAGACAGGCCTGCGCCTCTTACCACTCAAAGGGGCAGAGAAGACAGAGGTGGTGGAAACCACACAGGTGTATACTGAGGAGGAGACTAGGAGGGCGTTTGAGGAGACACAGATTGACATCCCTGGTGGTGGCAGCCACGGTGGCTCCTCCATGTCCCTGTGGGAGGTGATGCAGTCAGACATGATCCCAGATGATCAACGAGCCCGGCTCATGGCTGACTTCCAGGCTGGTCGAGTGACCAAGGAGCGTATGATCATCATTATCATTGAAATCATTGAGAAGACTGAGATCATCCGCCAGCAGAACCTTGCCTCCTATGACTATGTGCGCCGCCGCCTCACTGCCGAAGACCTGTACGAGGCCCGGATCATCTCCCTTGAGACCTACAACCTCTTCCGGGAAGGCACCAAGAACCTCCGTGAAGTTCTGGAGATGGAATCTGCCTGGCGCTACCTTTATGGCACAGGGTCAGTGGCCGGTGTCTACCTGCCTGGTTCCAGACAGATGCTAACCATCTACCAGGCCCTTAAGAAGGGGCTGCTGAGTGCTGAGGTGGCCCGCTTATTGCTGGAAGCACAGGCAGCCACAGGCTTCCTGTTGGACCCAGTGAAGGGTGAGCGGCTGACTGTGGATGAGGCCGTGCGGAAGGGTCTAGTAGGCCCTGAGCTGCATGACCGACTGCTTTCCGCAGAGCGGGCTGTTACTGGATACCGTGACCCCTATACCGAACAGACCATCTCACTCTTCCAGGCCATGAAGAAGGAGCTGATCCCTGCTGAGGAGGCGTTGAGGCTGCTGGATGCCCAGCTAGCCACGGGAGGCATTGTGGACCCCCGCCTGGGTTTCCACCTCCCTCTGGAGGTGGCTTACCAACGTGGCTACCTCAATAAGGACACACATGACCAGCTATCAGAGCCCAGTGAGGTGCGCAGCTATGTGGATCCCTCTACAGATGAGCGCCTCAGCTACACACAGCTGCTCAAGCGATGCCGCCGTGATGACAACAGTGGCCAGATGCTCCTGCCACTCTCTGATGCCCGCAAGCTGACCTTCCGTGGCCTGCGCAAGCAGATTACTGTTGAGGAGCTGGTGCGTTCTCAGGTCATGGATGAGGCCACGGCGCTACAGCTGCAAGAAGGCCTGACCTCCATTGAGGAGGTCACTAAGAACCTGCAGAAGTTCCTTGAGGGTACCAGCTGCATTGCTGGAGTCTTTGTTGATGCTACCAAGGAGCGGCTATCAGTGTACCAGGCCATGAAGAAGGGCATTATCCGCCCCGGTACAGCCTTTGAGCTCCTGGAAGCACAGGCAGCCACTGGCTATGTCATTGACCCTATCAAGGGACTCAAGCTGACTGTGGAGGAGGCTGTGCGTATGGGTATCGTGGGCCCTGAGTTCAAAGACAAGCTTCTGTCAGCTGAACGTGCTGTCACTGGCTACAAGGATCCCTACTCTGGAAAACTTATCTCCCTCTTCCAGGCCATGAAAAAGGGCTTAATCCTGAAAGACCATGGCATCCGTCTGCTAGAGGCTCAGATCGCCACTGGTGGCATCATCGACCCTGAGGAGAGCCACCGTCTACCTGTGGAAATGGCCTATAAGCGTGGCCTCTTTGATGAGGAGATGAATGAGATCCTGACCGATCCCTCAGATGACACCAAAGGCTTCTTTGACCCCAACACAGAGGAGAACCTCACCTACCTGCAGCTGATGGAGCGCTGTATCACTGACCCCCAGACTGGCCTGTGTCTCCTCCCGCTGAAGGAGAAGAGGCGGGAGCGGAAGACGTCCTCCAAGTCTTCAGTGCGTAAGCGCCGTGTGGTAATTGTGGACCCTGAGACAAGCAAGGAGATGTCAGTGTATGAGGCCTACCGCAAGGGCCTCATTGACCACCAGACATACCTGGAGCTGTCAGAGCAGGAATGCGAGTGGGAAGAAATCACTATCTCCTCATCAGACGGCGTGGTCAAATCTATGATCATTGACCGACGCTCTGGCCGACAGTATGACATTGATGATGCCATCACCAAGAACCTCATTGACCGCTCAGCACTGGACCAATACCGTGCTGGCACACTGTCTATCACTGAGTTTGCTGACATGCTCTCAGGCAATGCTGGTGGCTTCCGTTCCCGCTCCTCCTCTGTGGGTTCATCTTCTTCCTACCCCATCAGCCCTGCTGTCTCTAGGACCCAGTTAGCTTCCTGGTCTGATCCCACCGAGGAGACCGGCCCAGTGGCTGGCATCCTGGACACAGAGACTCTGGAGAAGGTGTCCATCACTGAGGCCATGCACCGCAACCTGGTAGACAACATCACTGGTCAACGGCTGCTGGAGGCACAGGCCTGCACTGGGGGCATCATTGATCCCAGCACTGGTGAGCGCTTCCCAGTCACTGAGGCTGTCAACAAGGGCCTGGTGGACAAGATCATGGTAGACCGTATCAATCTGGCCCAGAAGGCCTTTTGTGGGTTTGAGGACCCACGCACCAAGACCAAGATGTCAGCTGCCCAGGCCCTGAAGAAGGGCTGGCTGTACTATGAGGCAGGCCAGCGCTTTCTGGAGGTGCAGTACCTAACAGGTGGTCTGATTGAGCCTGACACCCCTGGCCGTGTACCCCTTGATGAGGCCCTGCAACGGGGCACCGTGGATGCTCGCACAGCCCAGAAGCTGCGTGACGTCAGTGCCTACTCCAAGTACCTCACGTGCCCCAAGACCAAGCTCAAGATATCCTACAAGGATGCTTTGGACCGCAGCATGGTGGAAGAGGGCACAGGGTTGAGGCTGTTGGAAGCCGCGGCACAGTCCAGCAAGGGCTACTATAGTCCCTACAGTGTCAGCGGCTCTGGCTCCACTGCTGGTTCACGCACTGGTTCACGAACCGGCTCCCGGGCCGGCTCCCGCCGTGGCAGCTTTGATGCCACTGGCTCTGGCTTCTCCATGACCTTCTCGTCTTCCTCTTACTCTTCCTCCAGTTATGGCCGTCGCTATGCCTCAGGGCCTTCAACCTCTTTAGGGGGTCCCGAGTCTGCTGTGGCCTGACCCCCTGCCTGCACCCTGCCCTCCAGCCCTGCATGCGGCCAGGCTCTCTGTGGAGGCGCTGGGGTCTTTTAACATGTAAAGGTGTCTTCCTCCCAAGCGGTGCCTAAAATTTAACCAAAAAGACCAGACTAACACACACACACACACACACACACACACACACACACACACACACACACACATCTGATGTCCAGACAGCCTGTGTCTTGGGAAATGGGGCTGGCCTAGACCCAGTGACCACTTCACTCCGCTTGGGTCTCCCTAATCCTTTCTACCTGCCACTCACCACAGCTAGGTGCCTTGGAGAATCCAGAGCTGGGCACTTAGCCTACCACGCCTGTCTCTCCTGGGAAGATTCTATCTGTGAAAGGCCTCCAGACCTCTAAGCCAACCCCACTGGATGTCTACCTGCTGGTCCTAGCTGCTGAGGGGACCTGGGGACGATCCCATGAGTAGACAGCTCTTAGGTCTCTTGAGGCCTGTGTCCTGAGTCAGCTGTGTGTCTCTGAATTACCTGCCTATTCATTGGGTCTTGCTGGTGAAGGAAAGGTCCCAGGCCAGCCATCTCTTCCAGCCTACCCACAGAGGCCCCTCTCCCATGGGAAGATAAGGCCTGGTCCTGGCCCCAGCCTCCCCCCTGGCTCCTGCAGCTGCCATTGGAGCTGTGCTTTGTAGCTCACCGCCTGCCCTGTACTTATTCACCCCACCCCGAGACCTGAGCCTCTGCTTCAGCCTTCCAGCCTCAGCTCCCCTTGTAAGTGCCTTCTGTGTCCTTCTTGTACCCAGGCCCTAAAGATCCAGACACAGGGTAGGAGATGAACTTTCTGGCTGGGCAGGGCTAGAGGGTTCTCCAGATCTGACACTCAGTGGCTCCTCAGCCTGTGGAAACCCTCTCTGGGTGCTGCTGCCCAACTCTCCCAGGGAACCTTGGCCCCTCCATGGCCCAGAGACACTGGCTGGCCCATCTGTGCTGATGTTAGCACCTGGCCAGTGCCACCCTCCCTTCCTGTCCAGCCAGCTCATGGCCATGGTGGTTCCTACCCTTGCCTCCACCCTCTGAGTGAGCTTTGCATGTCCCACTAACCTTGAGCTGGTGGCAGGTGGAGATGCCAGGCAGAACACTAACCTGACCATGGGCGGAGGCCCTGCGGTGTCCGCCCCTCAATAAAAGCAATTCCAACCTTCCTTTGGGTCTCACCTTGTCCTTTGGTACTAGATCATCTTGTATCTGTGAGAAGGTAGAGGCTGTGGTCCCAGGCTCTGGGCCCAGCAAATGTGTCCTGGCCAGGGTAGAGGGATGAGGCTGAGGCTGGGCATCACAACCAGGAAAACCCATGTGGTAGCTAGGCTCCCAGGCATAGAAGGCATAGTGGAGAAGGGAACCGGCTACACTGAGGTGGTCCTGTTGTGGTCCATCTTGTGTGGGTAATAACCTGTCACTTGGCCCACCCCCTTGACAGCCTGGAACACCCCATTCAGAGTGGTTAAGTCCACACGGTCCTCTACTGGCTTTGGTGCAGTACTCAGCATGAGTCTATGTCATGTGATCTGGAGGTCTCGATCCAACCAAGGCTTCACAGGCTTCTCAGATAAAACCCAGGCTTTCTGGTACGATCCCACAATCCAGGATTATCACACATATGAAAGCACACATTGAGAACAAGTTGGAAAAGCAGAAATCAAAACCAAAGATTTAAGATACCAGGATTATTCAGTAAATACACAGTAGGGTTTGGGGAGATGCCGCAGCAGGTAAAAATGCTGTGTAAGCCTGATGACCTGAATTTGATCTCCCACCATCCATAAAAATCCTAATGCTCTGGTGTGCATCTGTAATCACAACACTCCAACAGTGAGATCAGAGGGGGAAACAGGAATCAGCCAGAAGCTGGTAGGCCAGCTCGCTGGTAATACACATCATGACTGTAGACACAAGAGAGGCCCTGACTTGAAACAAGGTGAACAGAGTAACTCTGTCCTTGAAGTTGTCCTCTGACTTCATACACACTAATATATAAATATGATGTGCGTATATATATCTAATATTTTTACACACATACACATATATATGGTGTGTGTGTATGTGTGTAAAATCCTGCCTAGCCACCCATCAGCCTGGACATTATTTCCTGAACCCTGGGTCCACTACTCCATCAAGTTTTCTCTCCAGATGGGTTCCTTTGTGCTGTTTCAGAGTGTCTAAGATATTAACCCTAACCCTTCCCCAGCACCACCCCCAGCCCCTATGCCTACTCCTGCCCCTGACATATATCCCATGAATCAGCTGGCTCCTGGTATGGTGGGATTAGTGTCACACAGACAATAGAGATGTTACAGTAAATAAAAGCACACTGGGTATGATAGCACATGTCTGTGACTGTGTTACCTGGGAAGTGGAGACAAGGAGTCAGGAGCTCAGTACCAAACCACCACATGGTGAGGTCAGCCTGAGCTACAGGTTCTTGCTCTGGGTTTGTAGTAACTGCAGAAAGCATATAGAACACCTGTCTCAAAAAACATCAATCCATTGTAAAGTGCCAGGGGTGAGATGGGAGGATGGTTCAAGGCTTAGAGCACTTCCAGGATATCAGGGGATCCAGGTTCAAATCTTGAGTACCCACTTAAGTCAGGTGTGGCTAAGTGTAAGTGGAGATGGGTGGAACCCTGTAGCTCAACAACAGCCAGTAAACTAAATGTGCTTTTTTTTTTTTTTTTTTTTTTTTTTTTAATTTAAAACAATGCTTCAGGAAGGCAGACACAAGCCAAAAGCAATATAACTGCAAGAGGAAATAGACAAACACAAATAAGTGGAAGGGTTCCACACCCTCCAATTATATAGAAGTGCACCTCTTTGGGTTTTTTTTTTTTTTTTTTTTTTTTTTTGGCTGGGTTTTCAGGGTTTGTTTTTTTGTACTTTATTTTGTTCTTTTTTAATTACATACCTAGCTTTTATTAATACATTCCAGTTCCCCCTCCCTCCCCTCCTTCCACTCTCCCCACCTTTCCTCCCCACTCCACCCCCCCCCATCTGCTCCTCAGAGAGGGTGAGGCTTTCCATGGGGAGTCAACCAAGTCTGTCCCATCACCATGTTGAGGCAGGGCTGAGGGCCTCCCTGCTGTGTCTAGGCTGAGCAAGGTGTCCCTCCATAGGAAATGGACTCCAAAAAAGCCAGTTCATGCACTAGGTCCCACTGCTCAAGCCACACCACTGTCACCTGCATTCAGGGACCTAGCTTGGTCCTATGCAGGGTATCCAGCTGTCAGTCCAGAGTCAGTGAGCTGGGATCAGATGTCTCTGTGGCTTTCCCCATCATGACCTTGACCCTTTGCTCATAATATCACTCTTCCCTCTCTTCTACTGGGTTCCAGGGGCATCACCCAGTGCTTAGCTTTGGATGTCTGCATCTGCTTCCATTAGTTGACTGGATGAAGGTTCTATGATGATAATTCAGGTAGTCATCAATCTTAGAGTTTTATCTGGGGTCATCCTTGTGTATTCCTGGGAACTTCCCTAGTGCCAGGTTTCTTGATAATTCTCCATAATGGCTCCCTCTATCAAGATATTTATTTCTTTGCTCTTCCTCAACTTGACCACCCGGTTCCTTCATGTTCTCCTCTCCACTTCCTTTCCCCTCCCCCCCCACACTCCCAGTTTGCTCAGTAGCTCTTTTTCTCCTTCCTAGGCAGACCCATGTATGTCTCTCTCAGGGTCCTTTTGATAACTAGAAGTGTGTCTCTTTAATCCCAGCACGTGGGAGTCAGAGGCAGTGTATCTGAACTAGAAACCAGCCTGGTCTACACAGAGAGTTCCCAATAGAACTATGAAGACCCTATCTTAAACAAACAAACAAAAAGCCAGAAGGGATGTCCAATTCTTTAAAGTTTGTTGTGGATTTATTTTTTTTCTTTTCCCTGAGACAGGGTTTCTCTGTGTAACAGCTCTGACTCACAGAGATCCGCCTGCCTCTGCCTCCTGAATGCTGAGATCAAAGGCATGCGCCACCGCCGCCTGGATTATATTATTATTATATTCTGTGATTATATTGACTACAGCTATCTGAAAGCTCATAGAGCACTTCCTAAGCCAGGCCAGAGTCTAAGCTATAAAATAAGTCTCAGCAACATTAAAAGATGCAGGCCACAAAAATGTGTCATATTGGTGCCAGGAAAGTGCCTTGTCGAGTGATTGAAGTGCTGCCTGTGCAAGCATGAGACCCTGAGGCATTGGGATTCTCAGAACAAATGTAAATGTCATATAGTTGTGGTGACCTTGGAAGCTGGAGACAGGAGATTCCCTAGAGCAAAGTAGCCATATTGGTGAGCTCTGGCTTTGACTGAGAAATGCTGTCTCTCTGTGTAAGGTGGGAGAGCAATGGAGGATGGTTACAAATGTCAACTGGAAGCCTCCACAGATGTGCAAACATGTGCATGTGCACCCCATACACGGGTGTCCATACACATGCATACATATGTATACCCCATACACATACACACATGAAAATGGAAAAAGAAAAAAATGTTATCTGACACATTGAAATTCAATAATAAATGAATGTCTGGGTGTGTGGCACACGCCTTTATATGCCAGCACTTAGGCAGAGGCAGGCGGATCTCTGTGAATTCTGAGGCCAGCTTATCCTATTCCAGGACAGCAAGTGTGAGACTCTATCTCACAAAAGCAAAAAACAAACTAAAATAATAAATTAAAAATGAATAGAAAATCTTCAAATATTTAGAAACTATCATGTTTCTGTGTAATTCTGGGCCAAAGAAGAAATCAAGGGAAACTAAAGAGTATTTCACACCAAATTAAAATAAAAACAAATTAAAGTTAGGGATATTTGACTAAGGCAGTGCTTAGAGAGTAATTTGCAGCATATAATAAAATTAATGAAGAGCCGGGCATTGGTGGATCTCAGCACTTGGGAGACAGAGGCAGGCAGATCTCTGAGTTTGAGGCCAGCCTGGTCTACAGATAGCTCCAAAGCCATACAGAGAAACCCTGTCTTCAAAAAACAAAAAAAATTAAGGACAGATGGCCACAGCCTCAAAAATGAGGTGAAAGGAGGGAACCAACCCCCAAAAGTTATTGGCAAACTGCCACATGCACAACACAGCACGCACGTACACACACACATTTACATCTTTATATCTTTTTAAAAGTATATTGTCCAAATTGAGCTTTCAGTTCCAGGCAAACCAGTAAAAAAATCCTTTTTTTTTTTTTTTTTTTTTTTTTTTTAGGGAGGGGAGTGGACTTTAAATTTTAAAGCTGACTTTAAAATTAACATAGTCATGGATTAAGAACACCAAAACAACCTTGAAGAAGAAAATAAATTTAAAGGCCTTATGCCACAAACTGAAGAGTTAGTATAAATCTGTAGTGATGGGGACAGAGAGGTGCCCACAGGGACAGGCCATGTATCACTCTCATTTGGTTCTGAATAAAGTTACAAAGGAGTGACAGTGACCACTTCAACAGATGATGCTGTGGTGGCTGGCTATGTATATGCAAAAAAGTGTGTCATGGCATGCACAGATCTCATACTGCATCACAATCTGAATCTAAAACCAAACCCTGTGAAGGAAGACAGAAGATCTCTCCTTTTGAGCTAGGCAAAGATTCTTGAGTTGTAACATTGGGAGTGTAGTTGGGGAGGCGGGGAAGAGGGGGGGAGGGATATCTTGCTAAATCAAACCATCAAAATTAGAATCTTAATGTTCTTCAAAATGTATGCAAAGAAAATAAAAAGACAAGCCACAGATTGGGGAATATACTTAAAAGTCCTCCAATGAATATAAAACACGTAGCTGAAGCCAACAGAAATCAGCGTTCAGTGAAACAACACATTTAGATCAGGTTAGGTTCTGGGACTCCAGTGTGAAACAGTCATTGCTGGACTACCTAGATAGCATCCTGTAACCAGTCTACTAGCCAGACAACAACAACAACATGGGTTGGAGAGAGACAGCTCTATTGGTAAAGTGTCTTCTGAGAAAGCATGAGGACCAGTATCAGAGCCCCAGAACCTGTGAAGAGAAGGGCATGGTAGTGTACTTTTCTAACCCCAGCAAAGGAGGTGGAGACAGACATCCCTAGGGTTCATTGCCAGTCTAGATCAATCAGCAAGCTCCAGGACAATGAGAGATCCCATCTAAAGTAAAAAACAAAACACACTGACACA